GCATTCCTAGATATTTTGAAGATCACTTTACTAATTACAGTAGTTTTCCATGTGTCACCGTAGTTCCCTGTGTGTACCTCAGCCTAATGGCAGAGCTAGAAACGTGCTTTGCTGATAACATCATGCTGAAACCAGCAGAGGGATCATGGAATGACTTGGGTTGGAAGGGACCTCAAGGATCATCAGGTTTTAAGCCCTGTGCTGCCGACAGGATTGCCAACCACTAAATCAGGCACCAGCTCAGGCTGCCCAGGAGCCCATCCAACATGGCCTTGACCACCTCCAAGGATGGGGAATCCAGAACCCCTCTGGGCAGCCTGTGCCAGTGCCTTGTCATCCTAATTTCAGTAATCCAATGTAGAAGTGGTAGATCAGTTAAGGAAAAGCTAGCATTAGGTCACAAAAGCACTTACGGCCTGTTTCCAAAGGGCAGCGATGGCATTCTGGGAGAAGAATTAACATGACTTAGGTTAGGGTTCAAAGCAGCTCTGGGAATTACCTGTCAGGTAGAAGTAAAAGTGCTGATATCTTTCTTACTGAAGTTCAGAGGTGTTAGCTGTGTTGTGAAACTGTCCTTAGGTTTTAATGTGTGTTTTTTGTTTGTTTTTTTTTCTTCTTTTTCCCTGAAAACCAAATACATTTTGAAATACATGATCTAAACAGCACTTAATTAAGTAGCCAGGTTTTCATCTATTTTAACATCCTGCAAAATCCCCACCTGCCATGTGCTCCAGGCTCAGAACGCTACACTGGAGCACAGGCAGTGGAAGAGAGAAGAAGCGGAGGATGTTTAACATTCAGGATTTGTCCGCAGCCGATAATTTATTGGAACTCATCTGTAACAAGGCCTGGCACTGATTTATAAGTTGATTTGAAAAATAAATAAAAGTGATAGAAACCTGCATTCGGTTTTAATGATAGACTGTTGCAGCGTGAAAAGTAAGGATATGAAACATTGCAAGGAAATTAGATATTATGCCCTGAAGACAACTGCAGCTACCAGCCCATTAATTGTTAGATATTTATTATTAAAAATTTCTTTTCATGAGTGACTGCAGAATATTTGTGCTCTTAAAGTTGTTGAGTTCTGACATGAATGGAGTACATGAAGCTCATTTTTCCTTCCCTCTGTGTCTGTGTACGCGCATGGGTTTGTGGAGCTGACAAGGTAGCTGACCTCTAAATGTGATGAATCTTTGCGTACAAACAAAAACACTCAAGTGCTGCCTCTGAATTGATACTGAATAGGATAATGAATGCTGGGAAGTTCATTTTTCCTCTGAATTTCAATAGTGAGGGGCTGCAGAGTGCCCTGAAATGGGTCTCTCTGGAAACACAGACAGCCTTGCTTTGTTTACAGTGAAAGGCACAGCATTTCCAGGGGGCTCTGGCTGTTTGCATCAGCAGCCTTCCATGGCCTGGGTGCTCCCAGAGCACTGCTGATCACCCAGCAAGTGCTGAGGAAAGGAGGAGACGGGTAACTGGGAAAAAACAACCACATGCATCTGCCAAAATAAACAGAAGGTAAGTAAAGGACCGTTTGTAAAACGCTATAAGGGTCTTGGCAAACTGAAGCATTATATCAGGTCTTAAAAACACAGAGGACCTTTGATTAAATAAATTCTAAATCAACTGAAGTTCACAGAAAGGCAAGAACTCCTGACATGCCCTCCCACTTCTTCTCCCTCAGTTTACACAATAACTAACGTTGCTGATCTTTGGAGGAAGCAATGCCCGAGAGGGAGCATAGATAAAATACATAAAGAGGAATGGTTCCTACCTCAATTGGCCTGTGATCTACCTTTCTCTCATTTTGCTATGAATTATTAAGAGCTGTTATAGTAATTAAATGTGATAGTAATGTGGCTACAGAACCTCAGTTGAAGATTAGGTTTTAAATGCTTACTGCTTGGATTGTCTGAGGCTAACATTACCTTCATGTGCTTGTGCAGCTTTCTGATCATAAGATGGAACTCTACTACAAGCAAAACAGTGCATGCATCCGTGTTCCTCTTTCTCCTCCAATGTGTATGAGGCAGTTTATCCCCATTTCTCCACTAAATTTCACTTGGAAAACTACCCCTCTAAAGTCAGGTGCAGTACCTAAATGTGGTTTTCAAAAACTGAGCAGGTATGTGGTCAGCCCACAGGACAAGGTATCTGGAACTCCTTCTGTCCATATAATGTGAACATTTATTTCTCCATAATAAAATACACTTTACAGTCTACATGTTAGTGTCATTTCTAACAAAGGTAGACTCTGCTTGCTATCCAGAACATGGGTTTAGAAGAGAGGTACAAAATGCAAAAGGAGACAGGCAGCTATTAGAGAAGATTCACAGTTATGGGCAAATGCATTAATGGTGGGGTTAGCTCTTGAAATGAGAATTTATAACATGCCTTAACCTAATCCCTCATTAAGATAATTTATTCTCCCCCTCAAGGTCTCACATCACAGCTAGTATTAGGCAAATAATTAGTAACAAACAATTCATTTGATCAATTTCGACTCTTCTTTTCTAATGAACTGTCAGCCAACACAGTGCAATTGTCTCAAGTATATTTATTATTACACATTATTTGCCTATTTTTCTGATGTATTTGTAGTCTGTTGTTTATCCAGGAGGAGCCAAGTGCTCCGTGGCAGCTAGTCAGGGCACTCTGAGTGGATGCAGAAGTCACAGGGCATGACTGTGTCTTTGTCTGGGAAATGGGATGTTAGGATGATTTTGTGAATTCTCAGGCTTTCAAGAATTGAACTTTGTTTCCTCTAAATAAAGTTGTGTGCACGAACGTTTTAATCCATAACTCACACGAGGCAATTCTTTGTTCTGCAGTCATGTTGCATAAGAGACTCACAGCTCAAGCAAGGAAAAAGAAAGATCTATTTGCTGCTGTGAGATAACTTCCTGGCATAGAAAAGGTGGCAAGCCCTTGTGCTAATTAAAGTACCCTTAGGAAGCACTGTGTTGGAAGCATTTCTTGATGAATGTCCAGCACACGTCCAACTTGCTGAAGGACTGACTAAGCTCTTTGCCCAGCTGCCCTTCTGCTTGATGTGGAGAAACCTGTGGGAGCCTACTTAGCAAACGTGGCACCTGGAGGACTGAAAGGCTGTGAAATGAATTGGGGTCTCTGACACGGCTATATCTGGGCCACCACGGCAGCCCTGGAAGGTATTTGCAAACTACATTTTCATGGGATATCAGCCAGAATGAGAGCAGTTATCATGCTAATGAAATTCTTACATCTTCGTCAGCTGGTGGGAATAGAGCTAACGCAACGCCGCTTCCTGTAACGGCCACTGCCTGAACGCACAGCCCATAGGACAAAAGAGAAGAAAAACACTGTATGATAAGTAGCCCCAGTATAAAGGCACCCGATTGAGTCACCCAGCAGTCACCCCGCGTGGCAGTCTTGTGCCAGCTTTCCTCTGCCTGCAAAATGGGGAGAAATGTTTTCTCACTCTACAGCAGAGGATGACTGCCTGTTGATTCTGTTTGAAGCTTTAGGATTGACTCTGAAGAAGCCGAAGTCCAACTTCTTAATGCAGGGTTTTAGCCAGTGCAATACACTTTTCTCCAATGTTTTATCCTTTACATGCAAAGATGCAAAGCAGAAAAACTGTGTGGAAGGGATTTTCCAAGAGAGGGTGAAGTGGCAAACAATACTGTTCTGTCTGGGGACAGGTAAAGCTTCCCTGTAATATTTAGATTCTGTGCATGATGTTATCAAAACCTGAACCCAATTTTAATCTAACTCAAGAATTTCCTTCGTATAAGCGATCACAAATTTTTTATGTGAATGCCAATTAAGAAATTCAAGTGAAGTCCTAGGATGTGGTGATACGGTATTTTGAACAAAGAGGCTATTAAAAAATAAAAAGACAACACATCACATCAGCCCCTACTCCAAAAACATGTAGAGTGAGAGCAAAAAAAAAACCAAAACCAAGTTAGTATTACAACATTTTTTCCTCTTGCATTTGATGCACTATTTTGGTGGATGTTTAAGTGTAGACAGCTCTCTCAAGAATGAGCTAAACAGAGTGAGCCAGTATTTAGAATTATGTTTGGATTTAGAGGTTGGAAGGGAACTCAAAGATCGTCAGGTTCCAACTCCAATGCCATGGATAAGGTTGCAAACTGCTAAATCAAGCACCAGCTGCCCAGAGTCCCATCCAACCCGGCCTTGAAAGCCTGTAAGGATGGGGCATCCACATCTCTGGGCAGCTGTGCCTCACCACCCTCTGAGAAAAGAATTTCCTCCTAACACCTAACTTAAATCTCTCCTCTTTTAATTTAAAACCATTCCCCTTGTCCTATCATTATCTGTGTAAAAAGTTGTTTTCCCTGCTGTTTATAATCTCCTTTTGATACTGGAAGGACATGGTGAGGTCTTCCTGGAGCTTTTTCTTCTCCAGGCTGAACAAGACCAACTTCCTTAGTATGTCTTTATAGGAGAGGTGCTCCAGTCTTCTGATCTGATTTGTGGCCCTCCTCTGGACCCTTTCCAAGAGCTCTGTGTCTTTCTTGTGCTTGAGGGCCCAGGCCTGGGTGCAGTACTGCAGATGGGGCTTCATGAGGGCAGAGCAGAAGGGGGCAATCCCCTTCCTCTCCCTGCTGGCCACCCCTCTTTTGATGCAGCCCAGTGATACTTTTGGCCTTCTGGGCTACAAGCATACTGCTGGCTCATGTTCAGCTTTTCATCCACCAGGACCTCAAGTTCTCTGCAGAGCTGCTCTCAAGGAGTTCTTCTCCCAGTCTGTATGAATATATGGGATTGCCCCTACCCAGTGCAACCCCTTGCACTTGGCCTTGTTGAATCTCATCAGGTTCAAATGAGCCTACCCTTTCTCTGCATTGGAAATGCAATTTTGACCTCCTGCTAAATACCTCACCCCATCACTGTTCTAGAGGAGAAATGTCCTAGAAACAGATTTTCTGGTATTGATGCTTCAGCCACAATTCTGGGGAAAGGCAAAGAATAAAATTAAATCAGAACATTTACAAACAACTTTATTTTTTACAGCTGATAACTGGACCACTGGATTTAGGACTCCTGCTCCAACATTTCTATAAATCTAGCTTTTAAAAATTTTATTTTATTTTTACTTATAATGGTATCATTAACTATAAATGCAGCATTTCATCTTAGATCGAAGGAGTAAAGGAGTTTCTTTCCACTGCCCCCGCACCCCCACACACCTCTGTTTCTGTTAAGCCCAAATTGGGCATATTCTTCAGGTTTTATTTTCCTGTAGAAATCTTGTCTGTTCTTACCACTAGTTTGTAGAATTTGAACAAGTTTACCGAAACTCAGTCCCAAGGAAGAAAAATGTGATCTTTTCTAACAATGTGCACATCCTTACTTTTCAAGAATTTCTACACACTTCTATTCACGTTTTCTTTGAAAATGATTATTAGTTATTCAGCCCAAGAACCAAATCACATGCATTTCAGACACGAGCTGATCGCAGCCCTCTGCCCTTTGTTTGGAAGAGAAACATCTCTTCTCTTACATACTTCTTCTCTAGGAAAGATGCTTTGTCATATATATTTTTATTGGCACAACAGAAGCACTAATTTCTCTATTTCAACCGAAAAACTGAAACGTATGGGATTCTGATATTCTGAGATTTCTGTTCTCCTCTCAAAAGTAAGCTGCACTTACACTCTTTTTGCAGTGAAACAGCAATAGATCTGTAGTCCCTGTAGCTCACATTAGTCAACAGGCTTTATGGCATGTTATGCAATGCATTACATCCAACAGAATTTGGACAAAGTTGTAGTTATTGCAAATATTGCAAACTAACAAAACAGAAACCTGCAGTAGTGTCAGCTCTAAAAAATCACTTGGTTTGCTTTCAGATACCAGCATTCCAGAGGCAAAGAGATTAAATTAGGTTAGAGTCATAAGTGTCAGTTATTCCAAGCAGCCAAAATAAATCAACACTTGCCTACACGCACTCATTGAGGATGTAGCTCACACATTAACCAAGATGCAATTACACCTGTTAAAAAAAGGTGTTGTTTTTATTTATCACAAGAGGAATAAAACAAGCATAAATCCATGCTTAGTATAAACTCGTTCAGGAGAGAGAGGACAATGTTATTTATCTCAACAGTGCACAGCTCACCGGCTACTGCCATCACTGCTTTGCTAGCTGGATTTTAACTCTACAAGCAAAAGCACTTTCAACCTTTTGTTGCAAAGAGTTTTGAGTATTCAGTCAAGTACAGCTGTATCTCTTTGCTCAGTCCCACATTAAGCCTCTTACAAAATTACTGACATAAATCTGTAAGGGAACTTTGCAGATGTGAAAGTGACTGTAGGACTGTAGGAAAGTGACAGTCATGTGATCGTGTGGAGTCAGGTTATCCTCAGGAACAACCTATGTGCTGATGCACACTCACTCAACCACTCAACTTTTTCAGTAAGCAAGTGTGTGCACACAGGTGATTTCAATTGAATTTACTGTGTGGCAGCTTTCTGAGTCTCATGTCACAGAAAATCATGGAGGCAAACTTACGTGTCTGAGATCCGTGTGAAGAAGCAAAACTTTAGGGGATCCAGTTGGCTTTCAGCACTTTCAGCAATTCATGACTGCCTTTCCATAAGCAGCCATATACCCTTATCTCAAAAGGATGAAGTAAGGATAAGCCTGTGAAAAAAGCATCTAAGTTGTTGTGGTGCTAAATTATAGAGAAATTTCTTGTAGAGTAGCAACCATGAGACCAGGCTTTAAAGTGGTAATCTCCAGTTAGACCAGAGGGGGAAAAAGGAAAGGGTGTGAACAGAGGCACAGATACAGAAATAACATGATGAACAAGCTGGTGCAGGTTACTCTTTGGACAACAAGAAACTATTTTCATCAGAAGGAACTCTTCCTTGTGTAGCTCTCAGGTTTTTCTGTAGCTGCCTTGCCATCTGCAGGCAGAAAAGATAAGCTTTCATTGTGAGAAATAACAGAGGTAATGGATGCACTGCCATCCCTCCCTGCCGTGGCAGTTTTGAAAGGATGATGTGTTACGTGCCATCCTATTTGCTGTTTTGATGAGCTTCAGGCAGGTACTATTATTTACTACACGAGGCTGAGAAAATAGCACAGGTTACCAATTCTATTGAAGAACCATTGTGATAATAGAAATGAACAAACAGAGAAGAGCTGCAGATAGCTCTTTCTGTGAGTCTCAATAATGTGCTAAACAGAGAGGATAAAGGGTCAGTACTGAAAGTTACTTATGAAGAATTCTCTGCCTCACACAATGTTAATTTGGAAAAAAATACAAAGAAAATATCAACCTGAAGCTCCGTAAACTGTACAGGCAAACATCCGTGCTTCCTAAAAAAATAATAAATAAAATTCAGTAATGTTAGTAATTAGCAGAGAGAGAACAGTTAAACTCATCCAACAGTCATAGCTCTAGAAGAAAAAAATCTAGCAGCCCAAAGAAACCTCGTATTAAACCACATACAGCTTCCTTGTTCAGCCACCTGCACATCTGCCAAATATGATTCACTCCTTTTCAGCGTGGCACAACTCCTATGTACTCTGAAGGATTTGCAAAGATGATAATTGATAGGAACCACTCTGTGTCCAAAAGCGAGGTCTCAGAATGGTGAAAATGAATGTTTGTGGTCAAGGTGGACATCTGAAACGAATCTGTCTTCATGCTGTGTGTCCATAAGGGAAGCAAGCTTTGCACATGCAGACACAGCATAGAACACTCTCTTCTGTGGTGTGACCCCACAGTTTGAGTTTGACGTTTTCAGAACAGGAAAATGATTAGGGTTCAACAAAATTATCTTAAACTGCTTTGAAAAATCCCTGTCATGATTCTTAATGTCATTACTGAAACCCACGTTGCGTTGTACTGCGTTCAACATTACGCCGCGGACAATCAGGATAGCCAAGAATTGTAGTTATTGCTATCATGTTGCTATTGCTGCTGTGCACATCTGAGGAAAAAAAAGTAAGTGCATGGACACTGGAAGTAAGTTCAGGAGACATGGGAAGACTACTTGCTTTTGTGGGGAAAGGATTCAGGCAGCCAAAGCTCAGTTAGAGCTGGGAGGGACAATAAAAAGAGCTTCTTGTTGTTATTGTTGTTTTTAAATACATTAACAACAAAAGGAAATCTAGAGAGAACATTGGTTTGATACTTGATATGAGAATGATCATCTTACAAACAGGGATATGGACAAAGCAGAGACTTTTAATGCCTTCTTCACCTGTCTTCAACATTGATTCTGGGCTCTGTCAGCTCCAAGCCATGGTAGCAACCAACTGCCAGCCAGCCCAGAACTTCTGCTGGATTTGCTGCTCCACCTGGACGCGTGTAATTCGTGGGATGCAATGGAACTCACCCTAGGGTACTCAAAGAGCTGGCTGATGTCACTGGGAGACCTGTGAATTATTTTTAAATGGTTCTGTGAATCTGGAGAGGCCCGAGTTAACTGGAAGCTGGCAAACATTGTTCCAATTTTCAAGAAAGTCAAGAAAGAAGAACCTGGTAATTACAGACCTGTGCATCTGACTTCAACATCTGGTAAAGTTATGGAAAAAATTATGTTGGGGGTTACTGAGAAACACACGAAGGACACTGTAGTCATTGGTCACAGCCACTGTGGGTTGATGAGGTCTTGCTTAGCTAATTTAATCCCTTTTTATGGCAAGATCATCCATCTAATTGACCAAAGGAAGCCAGTTTACATCTTGAACTTCAGTGTGTTTTCAGTACTGTTTCTCACAGTATTCTTCTTGACAAAATGTCCAGCACATAGGTAGACAAAAACATAATGGGATGGCCGAACAATTGGCTGATAGGTGAGGTCCAATATGTTGTAGTACATAGGCTTACATCAGGCTGGTGACCATCACGGTTCTGCAGGACTCCAGTTTAGGAGCAGTTCTCTTTAATGTTTTCATAAGTGACTTGGATGTAGGACTAAAAGGTGTTCTGAGCAAGTCTGATGATGATATGAAATTGGGGGGACTACGTTAAGGGTGCACAGACCTTGCAGAGAGATCTAAGACAAATTAGAGGGCTGGGCAATCATCAACTGCATGAAGTTTAAGAAGCAAGGGCCATATTGTGCTCCTGGGAAGAAGTAACCCTGGCTACATGTTAGAGGATAAGAGACTGAAGAGCAGCTCTACTAAAAAACATTTGGGGGTCTTGGTTGACAAGAAGTTGAAAATGAATGACAGCATGAGCAGGCAGGCAGGCAGGAAGGCCAACTGCGTCCTGAGGTGCATCAAGCATAACCTTGCTAGCTGGACAAGGGAAGTGATTTCCTCTCTCCAAGCTGTGCTATGCAGCTTCACCTTGAGTTCTGTGTGCAGGTTTGGGCACCACAGCACAAAAAGGTCATAAAACTATTACAGAACATCCAAAAGAGGGCTGTGAAGACATTGAAGGCTCTAAGGGGAAGACATGTCAGGAACCACTGAAATCCCTTGGTTTGTTCAGCCCCAGAGAAGAATAATGGGAGACCTCACTGCAGCTTACAGCTCCTCACAAGGGGAATGGAAAAGCAGCTCTGATCTCTGCCTTATGATGACAGCAATGCAATTCAAGGGAATGGCATGGGGCTGTGTCAGGAGAGGTTCGGGTTGGATATCAGGAAAAGGGTTTTCACCAGAGGGTGGCTGGGTGCTGGGACAGGCTCCCCAGGGCCACGGTCACTGCCCTGAGCTGCCAGAGTTCAAAGACTGTTTGCACCACACTCTCAGACACAGGGTTCGAATTTTGGCTGGTCCTGTGTGGAGTCAGGACTGGAGCTGGTGATCGTTATGGGTCCCTTTCGAATTGAGATATTCTGTTACTCAGTGATCTGGATTATCATTGGTCACATACCAGCAAAGCACATAAACCCAACTGCTTAATCTTGGGCTGCTTTAATCCCGGGGGAGATGGGGTTTGCAAACCTTACTAAGGATAAAGGAGTTCAGGGAAATTAGGTGTGATTCATGCTCAGGATTAGCTACTTTTAAACCATTTTTTTTTTACATATATCGCTACATAGAGTTTTTCTTTTGGTAAAATTAGATGCTGATGTTGCCTAACGGCAAGACTATGATCTACAAATGAAGAAGTTTGAGCACTGTCTGATGCACTGTACTGCATAGCATAAAGCAGGCATAGGACACCACCAGCTGTTAACTTGAACTGCATGCTAAGGCTAAAACCTGTCCTATTTCTCACTAAAGTGATTTTCCAGTACCAAAATTGGGATAGTAGGCAAAGAAATAATCCTAACTTAAGGCTAGTTCAACAAAAGATTAAAGGCATGTTAAATCTTAAAGAGCTTAAATACTGCGCAGTTCTGCCTGAAGCCTACGTGAACTTTGCTTTATGCATTAAAGCTTTTCAGGGGCCCCAAATCCCCCTTGTAGAAATGTCCATGATCTTGTTTATTTCACACTGAAACACCCATCAAGTTCTACATAAATGGGTATACCTTTACCTGCATGCAAGAATAAGCAGATTTATGGGATTAGGCATTAGATACTGATATGGCAGGCTGCATTTAAAGACACACAGAGCAGCACAGAAGCCATTTATCTCTCAACAACACTGTTTTCCACTGGATAATGTGGCTTTTCTCTTCTCAGTCTCAGTAGTCAAGAGCCATGCTTCCCCCTCAACTCTCTTCCAAAAGAGTACTTTTAACTTTTAAGCTATGCTTTGAGTTACAAAGGGATATGTACAATTCCTGTTGCTATCACTGTTTCACTCATGAGATGAACAATTTAGCTGGACTTGATAATGGAAATTAAGGCTAAGATGGGCATGAGTAACTTATCTGCAACTATGTGTCCTTTTTTATTCTTAGTTTCTTTTTTAGCTTTCAAATGGCAGCAGAATTTGACCTGTAGCAAAATGGGCAACATTCAAACCAGCCACTTGCAGAAGCAGCAAAATACCCTTCACTTTCAACTACTGCTTCTCTCTCCCCATAGCACTGATTGTGGGAAACTGAGCAAACCAAAAATCAGTACCAATGCACATGATGCAAAGAAGCTTTAAACAAAAATGCAAAAAGCCTATTTCATATCTCCCTTATTTTCACTCTGAATTATAGTGGCAAAGAACAGCAAGTAGAAACAATTTAAGATCTCAAACACTGGTGTGAAACAGAACCAATGGTGCCACTTCATCCATCTCTGGTATGGAAGGGCTCTGTGGGACTTGGGGTATAGATAGAGCAACTGAGAGTATTAAAATCTACTCCCTGTTCTCCACAGACTTAGCACTAAGACAACTATGGACAAGATACCATCTCTGCTTCATCAGTGAAACAGAGAGATTTTTCTGCCTCATGGCGAGTCTAAAATTAATGTATATAATGTAAATAACATATATAATGTATATAATGTATATTAATGTATACAGCTTGAATAATCAGAATTTTTGTATTAAGTATAAATGTCAATATAGATTTTTTTTTTTAAACAGGTAAATTGTAAACAAAATCTTTCTCTAAGTTTCTGAATATGTTCCTGTACCATACATAAAACCCCTCTAGAAAACAGAGGTGTGAATTCATTTCACTGCTTCCCTAACTTGTGAAGTTTAGCTTTCTTATTATTTCCTGCCCTCTGGAATATACTTACAATTCTGTACACTTTCCAGAACAGTAAACAGTCCAAAAAGTTTCCATGATTGAACAAGCAGTGGCCAAATGTAAGATAAGGGCTTGTTTGTGCCTGGAAACATGTGAGGTAGAAAGAAACAACAAAGGTTAGAAAGGAATGCACTTATTACCCAAAAAAGAAAAGAGGAAAAAAAAAAAAAAAAAAAAGACTTAATTTATCTCCTCTGTCCTCAAAGGCAAGCTAATGAGAAGAGAGATTTTCCTGGAAGATGGAATGAGGTCAAGAAGTTAACCCATAAATGCAATTGGAAAGACCTTTCCAAAATAATGGAATCTGTAAGAGTTTCAGGGAGAAAAAGGATTTAAAAGAATTGACCAGGCTGTCATAACAGATCTGAAACAGGACCGATTTGTAGTAGTATGATGGCAGTTCTCAAAGCAGGAACAGAAAGCTGAAACAACCCACAGTGCATCGAAACAGCGTGCAAAAAGGTAAAGAGCATCTAGAAAACAGACAGACAACTGGGAAAGTAAGGACAACAGACAGGAATGCTGTATGTCCAAGTCTTAAAAGTACTTGGTAAATTCATAGCACAGCAGAGGTTAAAAAGAAAACAACCAAAAACCCCCAGCAGTCAAATGCAGTGTCAGGAAACACTGTAGGTTTAGGAAAGGGTTCTGAGCATTAGTTCTACACCATTTATATATATATTAATATTAGAATAATTAGCAGTTTGATGGTACTGATCTAGTGAAATACGGAAGAAATCCATTGCACAGTCAATTACTTTTCTATTCAAGTGTACCAAATAAATGCAAAATGTAATGTGAAAGCAACTGCAAATGCATACCAATTCAGGAAATTAGAGCTCCCTCAGTGCAACGAAGGAGGCAGAAGTGGATGGTATCACAGTAGCAGATAGCTGACATGAGAAACACTGCCCTACATTTTGGTGTGACCTTCAGCCTCACAGCGCTATCTTGTAACACATTTTTTGTGCAAAGAGGAGAAAGATGCGTAGCATAAGAATAGCAAACAACCAGTTCACAATTTACTTTAGACAGTAAATTTTATGGTGACAGAATCAATCTTCTCTGGTTTCATAATGCCTACTGTAAACTAGAGTCCAGGAGCTAACTAATCTGAAATCGCAAGTTATTTCGATTAGCCTACATAGCAACAGCAAGAAAAGTCAGCAACACCCCAATGTCAGTGCTCTCCCCATGAAAAAATAAAGAACTTACAGTTACTTTGCAAACAAGCCCTTACTTGTTTTTCACAGACAACATAAAATAATAGATATACACAGTACAGAAGATCCTAAACCAAAGTTCTGTAATAAGAACACTTTGAGGCTTGTCAGGTTCTCTTACTGGCAGGTACTGTAAGGCTCATTAAAAAAATTACAACAATTCACTGCAAGGAAGATTTTCTTAACTTCTCAACAAAAGCATGAAACTGCACAGATCATGACAAGTGGCAAATCACGAGCTCCTCTCATTTCAGTAAGCAACTTCTTTATCTTTCTTACGTATTGTTACAGAATCACAGAATGGTCAGGGTTGGAAGGGACCTCAAGGAATGAATGAATCTCCAACCCCCTGCCACATGCAGGGCCACCAACCTCCCCATTTAATACCAGACCAGGCTGCCCAGGGCCCCATCCAACCCAGCCTTGAACACTTCCAGGGACGGGGCATCCACAACCTCTCTGGGCAGCTGTTCCAGCACCTCATCACTCTCATAATAAAGAACTTCCCCCTGGCATCAAACCTAAACCTTCCCTCCAACAATTGCTGAGTAACAATTGCTGAATTCACACCCACGATAACAAAAACCTGACTCCTAAATATATGCTGTGAACACTAAATCTAGCATTTGTCTACACAGTCAGATTTCAAAGTACCAAGCACCTGTAAAAGAATGTAAAAAACCCTTTTCTATAGTTAAAAAAACACCACCCAAACTTCTCGTGATGTGGGCTCCAGTCAGTCAGTCTCGTACACAACAGAATAAATTACAAGGCCAACGTTAAAAGGCCAATTGTGAACTTGATGCACTCCAGATAAAACAAAGACAAAACTGCATTATCAGATGTGTGGAAGTGGCACGATGGGACTCGGTTTAGCAGTGGAACTCAGCAGGTCAGTTTGACAGAAGTTCTGCAAGCTATGTAAGGTATCCTAATTCCTATGAGAAACTTTGGGAGTGATTTCTCAAGTATTTATAGAAAACAGATAGCAAATTAATTATGTTTCTTTTGACTTTATATACGTATGGTAGCTTTCACATAATTTGGTTCCTGGAAGTTCAGTAACGTTTAGTAACAGTTTACTGATGGCAAAACTGAGACTGAAATACTGTCCAAACTGATGCTCAAATGCCAATTGCAAAGTTCCATGAAGATGATCTGGGTTGCCAATGTTCTGTCATTGCTTCCTTTTCACTGGTTCAAAAGCCACCTCTTTTTTAAGCCTGACAAATAACCCCACTGCAAAGAGCAACTTGATTTAGGGAAAAGAATGCATGGGAATAAAGGAGCCTGGGGGAAAAGACTTGGTCCAAAATCCACTCTTCCACCAAACCTGAAGTTGTAACACTTTTTCATGTCTTACACACAACTTCGACTGCAGTATGGACACTGCTGATAACTATGGCAGGTCCTTCCTCTTTTTATATCAGGGTGCATATATGTCAAATTCACACCTGTCCACCTAACCCAGGACACAATCAATAATGTAGCAGCCAGGAATTAAAAAAAAACATTGTTGCACTCACAATGAAAGCTCGTGACTTGCTGACAATGTGTGTGTATGGGCTGAAGAGCTTTGCTGACATACAGTAGCATGAGCATTTGAAACAGTACACATTTGTTACTGCTGCTCCGCACTATTTGTCCCATCATGCTAACACGGCTGTGTTAGTCCATGCTCTATTTTATATCACACCTAATATGACATATGCTGGCTACCAAGTCAGTAAGCAAAATTTAAGGCACATTTTTAGATCCATGCTTTGATTACAAGCTCCTCGGAACAGCAATTCTTCCCAAATGTCTGGCAAACATTTTGCATGCACATTTTGTGTACTTTAACAAACATTTTTGGCAGAAGGCAAAACATCCTGCTTGGTTTTTCAGTTCTTTGTACATTCTTTCTGGTCTCACAGTTCTATTATCAAAATTACAGTTGTCTAAGTTGAATAAGCCATCGATTTCTTATGAAACAACACAAAACAAGCTTACAGCACGTGAGGGATGCCACAACAAGAACTACCATGACCGTGTGAGAACAATCAACTGTAAAGTGATCTGTATTTTAAAGTGCCAGTGTTACACACATAAAATGAAAGAGAAGGCAAGTGATTCAAAATGAATTGAAAACAAAAGCTGGAGAGAGAAATGGACTCAATCTTCCCAAATTCACAATGAAAACTGGAAGTAAACTGTCTCCTCCTATCATAAAACGAAGAAAATTGCAGCCTGCACCCTAACCTTCTTAAATTCATTACCACACAGAGACTGACAATACATACCTTAAATACAGTTTCAGATGCTGTTATTCTTTAGGCCAATACTGAAAAGAGAGAGTTCTGATTTGATAATAATGATTCAGGGAACCTTCTTTCCTATCTCTTCACACCACTTTGACAAAGAGTGCCATAGGCCACGAAAAGTTTGTTGCTTCACCACAGAATAAGCAAATGACAAATTCTTACACTGCTGTTTCAATCATTACACTGTCATTCTCTCTTCTCAGCTAGCTGATGTCCAAAGTCCACTTCCACTGTTGTAAAAGTGGAAGACTGTTGGTGATGACTGCTCAAACAGTCTTATTTTCATTACTTGCAAGCAATGACCACCAAGTGAAATGACGCCTTAAAATTTCCATTAAAATGAAAATTATGACAATAAATAAATTTTGTGATGACCTGATCAGTAACTTATTAAAAAAAAAAAAAACAAAAACAACGTTTTTATTTAACGTGACAGAGTGACAACATACCATATTCTAAACCTTGCACCTTCAAAACCGCAATTTGGTCGAGCAGTTGCTGATTAGGTTCCATTAAATGTGAATACAGTATTATATTTAAATTACCTCAGCCAGACAATTAACGAAGACTAAGAAACACTAATCTGGAATCAGACACAGGGCCAATATCATTACAATGCCCAAGTAAGTCTTCTACTGTGTCACATTGGGAGTGCAGCTTCTCAGCAGTTTGCCAGGAGCTGCTGTCCTTCATTGCCTGGTAATGCCAACCGACAATGGCCTGCAATGCCTCTCATGATGAATTCAAGTGCTCTGGAGAAAGGGCTCACAAAAACGTGCATTTCCAGCTATCTGCAAGCAGATACTATGCCTTCAGCTCCTTTGGTTTTAATAACGTTCCCTTTGGAAAGTGAATCAGTTGAAGATTGTTCCAATAAAACAGGAAGTCAGAGTCTAGACATGGCATAAACCACTCTCTATACAGTTTGTGACAACGTCCTTGTTTTTCTTTCTTCCACATTTTTTTTCCAAATACCATACAGTGAAGGCAGTTTGATTTTATCCATATTCTTACTGTAAACATTAAGAAATATTCCAAGGACGACCAGTAAGCCTGACCACACGTATCTGAAGGGGAGAGAAAGGGGGGAAAAGAAGTTACCATTAGCACTTTATACTGAACAGTATTTATAATATACAGATAAAAATAAAAATCCCAAATTAATGAGAGAAGAAGAAAAAAAAAAAACACACTACAAAATACAACAACAAACAAGTTGATGGACTCGGAGAAAGAATTTCCTTCAATCTCCATTACTACTGTGATGCAATCTTTCCTTTCCTTGTACTGAATGAACAGTTTATTACTGTGGCTTCATAGTTAAAAAATAAACAAGATTAACTGTTCTTTCTTATATGAATAAAACAGACCAGAGAGGTTTTAATACATTTTCCTTGTCCATATTTAGGAGAACCATTCCCTATATCACTGGTCTAAAACATGCACTCATTCAGTGTCTTATGCCCATACTTCCTAATGCACACTTCTTGTTTAAGCCCTGTTATTTTAAGCCTCAACATTTTCACCTGGAATAAACTGCATTTGGGCATTTAGCTCTGGGCTTTGTTCTTAAGTTTCATTTTTACACATAGCAATAAAATTAAATTGTTTCAAGTTAGAATTTAAATCATTGCAATATCTCTGCTGCATTTTTTTCAAGGACAAAAAACCTCTTCATTGAGATCTAAATCAGGGAAGAATTCAAAGCCCCATAAACTTTCATTTTAACTTTAATTTTCTATCCAGACAGGAGGGGCTTCCACTTGTTAAAAAAAAGCTAGCTAAGAATTCAAGCTTGTGCTCAGAAACGCCTGCCTTTAGCCAAACCTTCCGGGAGGAAAGCACCTGAACAATTCATTAAGTATCATAAATCCCAGATATTACGTATTTCTTAAGAACCAACAACCAAAAATGCCAACACATGGAACAGTTTATCTTCCAGACCTTTAGGAAAATGGAAACTATTTTCTCTAGTATGATTAGCATCAAGACAGAATCTACAACAGACTGTCAACACTGTAGAAGATACAGAACAAAAAGCACTGAAGCCTGAATATGATTAACTACTGTTGTTATACATCCATGATCAACTTTTTAAAAATAAAATATATAAAAATACACTTAAAACTATAAATACTTACTGGAATGTGAATGGCTTCGCAAAGAACAAAAAAGAAAGCACAATTGTCATTGCTTTCCTTCCTGTTGTTACTGCAGAGGAAAACAGAAAATTATTTCTTTAAGAATCCACTGACAGCATAAGAATATAAGATGGTCTTTGATGTTAGTAGAGACCTTTACTACTTAGGGATCGTTAGGGATCTGGCTACACTCACTGTCATCCTTGGTACAAAGGCAAACTGTAAATGCACCTCTCCAGTGTAAAGTAACTCCAGAATCAGGACAAGGGGAAATGGTTTCAAACTTAGCAAGGGTAAATTTAGGTTGGATGTAAGGAAAAAGACTCTGCAATAAGGGCAGTGAGGCACTGGAGCAGGCTGCCCAGAGATGGGGTGGATGCCCCTGGCTCTAAGTAACCTGATCTAACTGTGGATGCCTCTGTTCATTGCAAGGGAGCTAGACTAGATGACCTTTAAAGGGCCCTTCCAACTCTAGCAAGGATTGTATGATTCTATGTTACGCAAAACAAGTGCACCATCCAAATGGTTTCATCTCTTGTCCCAGAATCTGCAGCACAGAAACTCCCAGAACAAGACTTTGTGTTTAATGGCTTCTCCCTAATCAGTTCATAATATCTGGAACAATCCCTGCAAGTAACTGATCACGTGAACTAAAACCACTGGTCTGTTAGAGCTGAAAGAAGTGGGTTCAGGCCCAACAGGACTCAGACACTCCAAATCTCTCACCATTCTCATGTGACTTTATCACAGTCCTGTGGTCTAGACTGTTGCTTTGGGCTTTATTTTTAAGTGGAATGAGAACAGCCATATTGTAATTCTTTTGAAGTTAATGCAATTTCAGTTATACAGCAGTGCAGAGCAATGTAACTTTGGCTAGGAGTCTCGAAGACCGAGGATGCCTGACTTCAATGACCGTGCATTAGTAAGC